TCTTTCCCACCAGGAAATTACTGAGCTGGACTCAGCCATACTTGCAGGGCTATTAAACCAGATTTCTGGGACAAAGACTTCCCCTTTGATCCTCTAATAGAGCTGGAACTGCAATCAGTGAACCAGAAACGGACATTTGAAGCAAAACAGATTAAGATTTCCATTACCTTTCCTAATCATATTTTCATCATCCTTCAGTGATTATAATGAATGTTTATTTAGTCTTTAGAAATCTATAAGCCTTGTATGCTGTCCTGTATTATATGCCTTTTTAAAGAAAGTTAGCTTGCTATTCTGGGAGAAAAAATGTCATTATGATCTTATTATAACTAATTAAGATTTTTGAAAAAAATGTGTCATTTTTAATTCTTTTTATATATTGCTCTATATCAGCGGTTCTCAACCTATGGGTCGCGACCCCATTTGGGGTCGATCGACCATTTTACGGGGGTCGCCAAACAATGCAACTGCCATTTTCCCCCCTCAGGGGACGCCGCCGCTCATGCGCGGCACGTTCGTGTGACGGGGTCGCCTTCACACAAACGTTGAGAAACGCTGCTCTATATGAAAATTATGGTGATATTTCAATCTCTTTTTTAAATAGTTTTGCCTCTGCAATAGCAGACACACTAACAGTGCAAAAGTAACATCCAAATTACTAAATTAAGCAAAGATTAAATCAGGCTAGTCTTATTTCTGTAGCGCTCAGAGCTGGCACACCTGTCACATTGCTTATCTATCAAACTCTTCCATATGTAGGATCCTTAAATTCTTTCAAAAAAACAATTTAAGTCTCTTAAATATTAATAACTTGGCATAAAGTGAGAACATTCCAGTAAATTCTGGAATATTTATTTATTTATTTATGAGACTTATATACCACTTTAAGTGCAAGCACTCTCTAAGCGGTGTACACCAGTAAGCAATGTATGTATATATTTACATTGCCCCCAACAATCTGGGTCCTCATTTTACCTACCTCGGAAGGATGGAAGGCTGAGTCAACCTTGAGCTGGTGAGATTTGAACTGCTGACCTGCTGAACACAATCCTTGACTGCCGAACACTGCCTGAATCAAAGGTGGCAGCTACCAGGATGTTGGCATGATCTAATCCCAGCCTAGAGCTCCCTCTGTAGGATTTGTGGAGAATAGAAATTGATCATGGGACTCAGTTGAGTCATCCTTGCAACATTTACATTAGACCCGGCAGTGCAGAACAGACTAGGAGATTCTGGTGGTGTCAAGCCCCAAACCAAAAATGACTCATGGAGATTCTATCAAGCAGAGTTCTTTTATTGTTTCATACTTATAGCCAAAATCCTGCCAAACTGAGCACTCTACTAACTGCATCTACTATATACTCTGTGAACTATTAGGAAGGGGCTGTCTTCACACACACACACATAAGATATGGACTGTGTTGCCTCTTACTCCTCTGGAATGCACTCCTCTCTCCTGGAAATCCACCTCCTCACTACATTCCATCACAGGGGGATTCTTTGTGACTAAACATTTCCATTACATAGATCAGTGGTGGGGAATCTATGGCAGAAGTGCCAGAGGCGGTAATCGGAGCCTTCTCTGTGGGCACTCGGCCGTTGCCCCAGCCTCGCCTTCCCCTGCGACCCCCTCCTCTCCAGCAGCCCCCCTGAAGCAGAGTCGCCCCTGAGCGTGGCCCATGCAGAGCAGCGCAGCCAAGGACATGGCAGCCAGGCAGCGTAGACAAGACTCTGCCCTCACACCCCATCGTGCAAAGTTGATGCTGCAGGGCTCGGGCAAAGGGCGTGACTGCCATAGCGCTGCTGGGCTGCTTAGGTGATCTGCAGCGGGCCCTGGAGGCAGTGAGTGGCCATGTGGGCAGGTGGGGGATGGGGGGATGGGCAGGGGTGGGGCAAGGGGTGGAGTGGGGGCGGGGCCTGTTTTGGGGCACTCGGTCTCTAAAAGGTTCGCCATCCACTGACATAGATTTTCTGTCAGGAAATCCAAATTTTTAAACATAAAGCACTTTAGAGGTTGGGGGTAGGAGGAAAAGTCTTGTGAACTAACATGTCCCTACTAAGAAATGACAAATGTCATTCAGTCATTAATTACCAATCTTAAGAAGATTTAAGTATCTAATAATTACAGTTTTTCCAAATGGTCCTTCATCTATAAGAGCAATGTGACATACAAAGTGAGTTTCATGTGGTTTTTGTTAAGCATTTTATGGCCTCTTTAATAATAGTTAAAAAGACAATTGAATGAGAGATGTAATTTATTTCCAAGCCAGAAAGCTCTATTTTTATGGGAACCAAGCTAGATTAAGGAGTGGAGGCTGTATTTTTTAATCCATGCATTGATTTTTATTTAAAAAAATATGAACAGGGTCAAATTTTTACAACAAAAAAGGTAGGGAAGAGGAATACCAGCCCCAAAGGTATGGCATGCTCCATTCTCTCAGTAATAGCTGAGACCACTTGTGTTTTTTTTTATTTTTCCTTTATTTTCCTGAATGTCTCAATAAAATAAATCTGATTAGTCATTTTAGTTAAGAACACAAATGTTGTGGGCAAAGTACAGCTCCTGTTTATTATATTTAATGTTTTCACTATTGAAAACTTGTCAGTTTTTGTTCTTTCTCAAGAATTGTAGACTCTCATATTGTACCAGCCCCATAGCTATTTTATAATTCAGTTTACTATATAAATACCTGTAGATACAGCCATGCCTACATAAGCTGTGGGGTAGTGATTATGCAAGTACTATTTTTTCTAGCTAGGGCAGTAAGAAAGAGGTGGACTTAAAGCAGTCATGGGACACAGCATGAGTCATTATCAGCTGAGCTAATTTCCTTTTGATAATAGGAGTCCTATTTACTTTCTTTTGAATCTTCTGGAAGACAACTGATGTAATGAAGAGTAACATGGGCAGGAGATCAAGGGAGAGCTTTTCCTAACTGAGCTTTTCTCTCTCACTTGTAGAAAATAATATGCCACCTGAATTCCCAGTGACTGAGTAGTTTGCAAACTGTTGAAAGTATTTAAAAACAACACACAAAAAAATATAATCAAAGAAAAAAAGGCAGAGAAAACAAACCCAAATGGTAACATGGAAAAAAGGAACATCAATCCTTGTCAAAGGCCAGATTGAAGAGCTAAGTCTTCAGGGCCATTTAAAATAGCAGTTGGGAAGGGAATGTTTGAAGGGGGGGGGGCTCATTTCAAAGGGCAGATAGGTGCTTCAACCGAGTGGATGTGCTTTCAGTGTCTTGATCTATTACATTATTTAATCAAAGAAACCTAGAGCATCCCAGCCTTGCCAGATCAAACTGGCCAGGCAGACACTTTGGGAGATAGGCAGTCCCTCAAGTAACCAGGCTGTAAGTCATGTAAGGCTTTATATGTAGTGACCAGCACCTTGAATCACACCCAGAAGCAGGCTGGCAACTATGGCAACTCATGAAGCAGAGGGGCTGCATGTTATATAAACATTTGGGTTAAGCTAGTCTTTAACTCTTGCTTGGTGTAAATATACTCTTGTGGAATTTTGCCAAAGCACAATATTGAGAAAAACCATTATTATTGCAATGTTTATTGGATGTCTGCTTTTCAAGACAGACCGACCCTTAACAATGGAAAAGCAGAGAATTTTTATAGAAATTGAAGGCTACAAGGCAGGAAATCCTAGGAATCTGATTTATTGGCCAGTTTGGAGAAGCTTGGCAGGTCCTGGTCAGTGTACCTGAGTTCTATTGTTATGCAAAATGGATTTTTCAGGAGGGCAGGAGATCTGAGGAAGTTAATTGTTAAGGAAATTGATAAAGGGATGATGGGGTTGCCATTCCTTTGTAATGTTGCCAGGTGCTGTAAGTAGAGGCTTCAGTGCTTTGTGTTCTAAATGGGATTGCAGACAGTTTTATCTGGGACATGGTGGGTCAATTTTGGTTTGATGGGATAAAGCAAAGAGAGCATCTGGGTTTCACCTGGTCATATCTAAAAGTGTGTGTGTGGGGGGGGAGGTGCAAATCTTCATTTTTGGGTCCCTTTGAATCTATGTTGTTTCCTGTCCTTTGCTTGGATAAATCCTGGCAATGGCAAGATTTCAGAAGTTGTCTGCCTTGCCTCCTTCCTAGGGTTGGATGGCCCATGTCATTTAGTTGGCATTACCTAAAAATGTTTTAGAACTCATGGTACCAATAGAAGAGAATATCTGTAGCTCAGATTGAGAGCACTTGGTGTTCTTTAAGTTTGCTTGTTTTCATGAGACTTCAGTGCTAGTAGTGAGTGGAGTTTGCTGTCATTTTTTTATCCTTGATTGGGCTGCTTACTACGAGTTACCAATAAACAGCGCAATCAAGGAACCAGCAAGGCTTATACATATATGGCTCAGAAGTAAGCCTACATTAATCGAGACTCGCTCCAAGTGATCAGCATCACCAAATTCCTTCTATATGTGTGTTTACCCCAAAGCAAGCTGCACTCGGCTCTACATATTGCCTAGTTGAAAAGCAAAACAATTCCCGCTCCGGTAATGGAAGCGCTGCTAGGGTCTCCACCACTACCTGTTGCAGGTAGTCTGAGAAACTCTCCGCCACCAACCTGGGGGATGGGCAAGGCCTGTAAAACCTTTCCACTCTGGCGGGTTTTTTTTTGTCACGACGTGAGTCAGCAAATCAGGAAATGGAAGCCGAGCGTCCTGATTCGTGGAAGCGACTCTTGTTCCCTCCCGCTGCACAGGGCCCGGGCCTGCTCTCATTCCCCGTTCTCACAATTGGAAGCCAAGGAAATGCTGAGTAACGCTCACTCGTGGCTTTGGAAGGTTTTGCTAGGCCGAGCTCAGCCCTGCAGGCCGAAACTTTGATTCGCCACCGCCATCCTGCTGGAGGGGGAGGGGGGAGGCCGAGGCCAATCGCGGCGTTGCAACGGCCTCGTGCGGTTGTCTTGCCCTTCCTTTTTTCACACAAAATCGAGAAGATTCCCTTCGGAGGGTGCGGGGAAAGCGGGGGAGGGGAGGGGTAACCGAGAGCTCGGCACATCTCTCCTTGGTACCTATTGTTATTATTCTCGCCTTGCCAGCGCGGGGACTTTCCCACCTGAACCCCGCCCCTTTTCCGTGGGTTGCGGCGCCCATAAATAGCCGGGGCGGGTTGTCGTCGGCAGGCAGCGGTGAAAGGACGTTGCTTGCGTGCTGTTGAATCGCTGTTGCTGCTGTTCCTCAGCCGGCCTCCCGAGCGCCAATTGTTGCTGCGCCACAGAAATCCAGCGCCGCTGCCGTCGCCGCGATGGCTCAGCTGACGATCAAGGCCTACCTGCTGGGCAAAGAGGAGACTACCCGCGAGATCCGGCGCTTCGCCGTCGACCTTCCCGCCCGCTACCAGCCGATACGGGAGAAGGTCGCCGAGCTTTTCCAGGGGCTGCTCCGCAATTCTGCCGCCGCCACGGGAGCCTTTCAGATGTACTATAAGGGTGAGCAATGGAGGGATCAAAGGGCCGGAGAGGGCGGCCAGCGAAATTGGGTGGCGCGGCTGCATCTCTCCCCCCCCCCAGCCTCCTAGTATGGAGCCTTCCTTGAATAGCAGCCTTGACTCTTCGAGAGCGGCACCCAAAGTCTTGTCCTGCTGGGGCTGTTAGCGCTTCCTTCTCTTCAGGTTAGGTAGACTGGAGCTTATTGTACTGCCAGGAGATAAGAACCCTAAATGCGGGTGTCTATTTAAATAAACGAATGGAAATCCAAGAATTTTCAACCCCTTCCCCCATCTGGGATATCCCCCCCCCCCTTTTTTTTTATGGACACTTGTGTAACGGAGCAGTTCATCAGGCTGGAGATTTCCTTGATCATGGTTGTGCAGCAGGAAACAGTTAGATTTTTATCCCATCTTTATTACTTTATGAGTAACTCAAGGAAGTAATATTCCTTTCTCCTCCTATTTTCCTAATAGTCACAACACTGTGACGTGGGTTGATCTGAGAGTCAGGCCCAAGGCCATCCAGCTAAAGTAGGACTAGAACTCACAATCTCCCAATTTCTAAGCCAGCAACTCAGCCTCTATATCTTCTATTGACTGAATTCATATACTAAAGTTCAGCTTATAAACTAAGAATCAGTACAGGTAGTCCTCTACTTACAACCATTGGTTTAGTAAACATTCAAAGTTAGAATAACACTGAAAAAAGTGACTTATGACCATTTTTCACAAGACTTGCTGCAGCAGCAGTAGCTGCTGCTTGGAAACTAGCATGTATTTTGATGGTTGTGGTGTCCCAGGGTAATATGATCCCCTTTTGTGACCTGACAAGAAAGGTCAATAGGAAAGTGAGATTCACTTAAACATATTACTAACTTAACTTCAATTATTCACTTAACTGTGGCAAGAAAGATTGTTAAAGGGGGCAAAATCGCTTAACAGCTGTCTTGCTTAGCAGTAGAAAGTTTGGGTTCCATTGTGGTTTAAGTCAAGGAGTTGTAGCAGTTTAGAAAAAACTTTGTTGATATAATATCCTGGTCCAAATTCCAGACTTTAATAGGTAATCCACAGTAGGACAAGAATAAACAAAACAATTATGACTTCACATAAGCAAAAGAAACTGTCATGCAGTAGTTAAAGGTCCAATGTCCTTGGTGTGTTGTGACCATTCTTTCTAAACTTGCCTGCCCTAAAAGTAGTCCTATTACCTCATGTGAATAGAACAGACACAAGCCTCAAGTTTTGCAAAAAAAAAAAAAGACTTGAAAAATTTCGTTTATTTCTTGCTATTGTGCAGTATGTTATGTACAAATTCCATAAACTCTGGCTTAAATTCTTAGTTTTTAATTAATCTTAAATTAATTAGTTTTGGGGAAAAGTAACTTCAGATATTTTGGTACTCTTCTCAAGCTATAGTGAGATCTTATTACAGATATGTACAAAGAGGTGTGTTAGAGAATGGCTTTGAACTCACTTCTGGCAAAAGCTGGTCAAAAGCAAAGTCATGTAGTATTGACCTATCTTCTTTTTCTTCTTGTGCCATGTCTGTTATCGGACGTTGGTGATCATGTTGGCAATCCTGTTTTTATCAGCAGCCGGAGGAAAAAGTGCTGCTGAGTTTTGTCCAAACCAGTCCCTTAGATTTTGAAGCCTCCTTCTTCTTCTTCTGCCTGGATCTCATTTGCCTTCAATCTTTCCCTGGAGGATTAAATGGAGCATGCCGTATTTTTCTGGGTGTCGCATCACATGTCCAAAATATTCTAATTTTCATTTTTTAATTGTTTTGATGATTTCCCTTGGCTTTCCCAGGCGGCTTATCACCACCTCATTTCTGATCTTGTCAACCCAGCTTATATGTAACCTGTAGTGGGGTAAATTGTTGTGAATTGAAGGGATTGTGTTAGATCAGTGTTTCTCAACCTTGACAATTTTAAGGCATGTGGACTTCAACTCCCAGAATTCCACAGCCAGCAATGCTGGCTGTGGAATTCTGGGAGTTGAAGTCCACATGCCTTAAAATTGTCAAGGTTGAGAAACACTTGTGTTAGATGATTGGGTAGTGAAACTCTGGAAAGGTACTGGAAGGATTACATTTCTCTATAGAAAACGGGTGGAGCTTACATTAGATCTTTTATCTAAATGATGTTTTCATCATCTTTCCCCTCCACCATGGAAACCACTACATTAATTTGAGATAATAATTACTGATTGATTCAGAGAAGAAATACATTTTCTTTATTCTGTTTTGCAATCCAGTAGAAACCTTACTACTTGTTTCTCTAGAATTTTTTAAAGACAGTATTTCTTCTATCATTTGCAAGGGTATGGTATGACTGAGTTTGTGATTGACATCCAAGAGTTACAAAAAGAACCTGATACCTGCTTTTCCAGATTGAGAATAAAGATAACTGCTTACTAAGTAGATCCACATAAAATGGTACTTCGAATTTTACTCCTTTTCTAGGCCTCTTTAAAACTTGTTGGAGTCTCTTAATTTTTTTTTTTCATCCTAGGTTTTTCTCCCAAATGCAGGGTCTGGTTTTTTCAGGTTGAGTGTTGATCCATTGGTTGCAGCTGGAATTGACCAACCAGTTTGTCACTGGAGCATAATGTTGTGGGCTGGGAGAAAATGACTGATCCCACATTGCCCAGCCTGCTTTCATGCCTAAAACAGGACTAGAACTCACAGTCTCTTGATTACTAGCCAGGTATCTTAATTAGTAGTCAAAACAAACTCTCATTGGAGTTCTTGTTATTTGTCAATTGATTTTAGCCTTGAAATAGAGACTGGTATAATACTTTTTATATTTTGCATAAAGCAGTCAGTAGAAAATTAATTGAATTGAATTAGATAGATAGGAGATATGCAGTCTGTAGATTGTTTGCTTTGGGTAGAGCAGTGATGTGTGGACTTAAGTCCTAGAATTCCCTAGCCAGCATGCTAGCTGGGGAATTCTGGGACTTGGGAGCCACACAGGTGGCATGATACATAAGAATTGTTCAGATTATGATTACATATCTTTTCTATCAAATAGTAAATGGATTATTATTTCTTTTCAGATGAAGATGGTGATATGATCGCTTTTTCCAGTGATGAGGAATTGAAGTTGGTTCCGCCCTCTGTGAAAGCTGGAGTTTTCCGGATTTTTGTTAAAGGTAACATTGATTTGTGTGTGGCAGTTGTACTCTTATACATTCTGGGCTATGGAGTTGGTTCAAAATAAAGAACCTGCACTACACAAATTATTTTCAATTCATAATCTTTATGCAAGAAACTCTTACTGGAAATATTATTTCAGACTAAGTAGAAATCAGAGAAAATTAAAGGCAATGGTGGATATGAAATTAAAATACAAATAATCCCTAACTTACACCAGTTGGGACTGGAACGTCTGTCACTAAGTGATGTGGGCATTAAATGATTCATGCCCACTTTTAAGGCCTTTTTTGCTGCGAGCGTTAAGCGAATCTGGGTTCCCACATTGACTTTATTGAAAGCCTCCTGGGAATGGTGATCATGTGGCCCTGGGATGCTGCTGCCATTAAAAATACATGCAAGTTGCCATGTGCCTAAATTTTGATTATGGGGTCACTGTAGCAGTCATAAGTGTGAGGATCGGTCATAAGACACTTTTTTCCAATGCTGTCATAACTTCAAACAGTTATTAAATAAATGGTTGTGAGTTGAGGAGTACTTGTTCAGTGGCAACTCCTCACTTTTGACAATTGTTCTTGCAATTATAATTTCTAAGAATAATTTCTTGTTACAGAATACTATGTGAAGGTAATTAGGACATTGCACCTTTTCTGTATAAGCCATCTATAGCAAGAAGAAATTTGTTGATAGAAAAGTAAAGCAGCTGGGTATTTTTCTTTCCACTTTACATTCAGTCTTCATTTCTAATCTATATTGTATCTCAGGAGGCTTTGAAATGGAGAAAGTATTTTGAACACTTAATTAAAATAGACTGTGCATAATGGGCAATGAAAAAATGGATTTCACTAAGCTATTCTGGAAAAAAGCAGCAGGAGCTGCCTTGGAAAACAACAACAACAAAAAAGCAATCATTAAAGTCTGCTCCTGGCATTGAGTATGGCTCTGGTTCCTTTGTCTTCTGGTAGATATTGTACTATGGCTGACATTAAGACAAAAATGCTGTTAATTGCATTGGATTTAAAGGAAAAACAGTTTTAGTCACTAAAAAGCAAAGGAGCGTATTTATGATACGAAGCGACTTTTCCTGCCATTAAAATGTGTGGCTCACTCATCTGTTGCAGAACGAGTCATTTAAGAACATTTTTAATTTTTAATTGCACTACATTGAAGGCAGTTTTTAACCTAAATTATTTTAAAATGCTAAACTAAGGATTGCATTTTTAGGGTAGCTACTTACACTAAACTGGACTGTTTTATAGGAATTTTAAAGAAGTGAAGGGGGGAGGAGAGGATTGAAAAAAACTATTCTAGATTTCCTTCATTAGATGTTGTTTATTCCAGACCTAGGGTCTTTCATGGGAGGATGGTCCTATTATAGGCAAAATTGAAAACTGTATGGCTGAGTTCATAAAGCCCACTAAATGGAAAATAAACACGCTTTATTGTGATTTGTGAACTTAAGACAGATCTATGTATATTGTGATAGGCATACTTTTTTCAATACTAGGTACAATTAACCTGTGGGAAGGAGGGGATTAAACCTTGCTTTATATTACCTTTTAATTGTCCTGCAATATGGATAACTTTTTAGTCTTGGGTAAAGTAATCCTCAACTTATAGCCAAGATTGAGCCCCAAATTTTTATTGCTAAACAAGGCAAACCCCAAAATTTGATCACGTGACCATGGGGATAGCTCCAGTGGTCATTAAGTATGAAAAATGGTTATAACTCACTTTTTTCAGAGCTGTTGTAATTTTGAGTCACTAAACAAATTGTTGTATGCTGAGGACTAACTGTTATAGTTTGATCAGCACGGTTATAGTTGAACAATAGCTTATATGTCAGGGGCCACTTCAAAACCTCATCCTAAGGAAGCGGAACCCGTAGAAGCGGTTTCTTCCAAAAGGAACTTTTATTAGGAGAAGCTGATAGCAGGCATACTAGACAGGATCTGAGGGTTTCAATAGGTTAAAAGTGTCCCAAGCAAACCCCACCCCAAAGTTTATCCGGTCAGTTCATGTGGGCCAATCCCCAGGTGTTGTCCGTTGTGGAAAAGAGCAGATAACACCAGGCTGTCTCAGGGCTGCAGCATGTTTTGTTGGCTCTTCACACCTTCCCTTCCTAACCGGAGGCACATTCCTTTCTTCTCCCCCCTCTTTCTAGCTGACATCAAGGGGAGAGATAATTCATAGAGGAAGTATGCAGAAACAGCAAAGTGTTACAGTGTAGTGATAGAGGAAATCAGAGCAATAACCCGCAGTGGTTTCCCCCCCCCCTCCAGGAGCATGGCAGAAGTATAGAAGGACTAGAGTATGGGTTAAAGATAGAAAAGAGCCCCCTTAGAATGTGGGTTCTGACATTATATTTGTGTCTTTCAGAAAAAAAGGAGCTTAAGCATGTGAACCGCCATTCCTGCAACAAGGAGGATTCTCCAAACCTCGTGCATCCTAATGTGGTCTGTGATGGTTGTGAGGGCCCAGTTGTGGGTTCCAGATTCAAATGTGCAGTTTGTCCAGACTATGACCTTTGCAGCACTTGTGAGGGAAAAGGTGTCCATAAAGAGCATAACATGATCATGTTTCCAAGTCCATTCGACCAGCTTGAGGTTAGTATTATGAAGAAAGGCAGATATTCAAAGATAATTGTAAAAATTATAAAGTCAGTTTGTGGTGTATTTTAAAGCTGCTGGAGCTTAAAAACATTTGTTTACCCTTTAGTGGCTTCTTCAGGGTCGCTGGCTTCGTAAAATGAGACACGATCCTTGCTCCTTTCGTTGGATGCCCGGTAGGGGACACCGGCGTTTTGCCCATCATCACCAGAATCACGGCCAGGCAGAAGCTAGTACTTCTTCTCAAAGTGATGCTCCAGCACGCGGTAAGAAATCAAAGTTGCAATAACAGGAGTCTTTAACTGCAAAATAAATTAGCAAAAATCTGATGTCCGTCTAAAAATTATTTCCTTGCCAATGTTGTTTATATAAAAGTTGTACTTCTTAAAAAATATCATCTTAAAATTATATATCTAATTTTATACATGTGCACACATACCTACTCAGGATTGATAAACTCATAAAATTCTTGTCTCGAATAGTGGTTATATATGTATCATTTATACTTTTGCTTTATAAAAGAAACAACTAGCAATGAAGTTCAAGATCACAACGTCAGTTTCCTGAAGAACGTTGGAGAAAGTGTTGCTGCATTCCTGAGTCCGCTTGGTAAACAATTCCTTTCACTGTATAGTTTATTTATAAAATTTATTAACCTCCCATCATACCACAAGGTAACTCTGGGAGGCTTACAATATTAAATATAGGTTTTCTTGTCCCTCTTGTGAACTTTCCAGAAACCAAACTTTTTATTGATTTGGCTCACCCAAATTTCAATGAAAAATATAGAATGTGATATTATGTAAGATATAATATTGAAAGTAGGGTTGCATTTATATATTGTCAACTGTAATCATCTAATATCATTAATAAATTAACAGTGATTAAGCATACTGTGACAATGTGATGCCTAAGTAGTATCTAAACATTTGAAGCTCTCATGTATTAATGTGTAATCTAAGAATGAGCTGGCACTTGTGCATCAAGTACCAGAGAATAACTGAGGCGACACCCAATTGATGTAATCTAGTTACTCATTTTTAAGTTCTCCCAAATGATGATTTATTTGGAAATATGTTGCCTTTGAAGTAGGGGGTGGATAACAGAAGAATTAATGTCTAGTTTTGAGACAAAATATGATAGAACTAGAGTTATAAACAGAGACAGAAATTTAGTGATGCCCACGAATATACTGCAGTATGTCTTTAACATAACCCGTGTCAACTGCTTTTTTAGGCATTGAAGTGGATATTGATGTAGAACATGAGGGTCAAAGAAGCAAAGTATCATCACCTGCACAACCTGCACAACCTAGTTCAGAGAAGAGCTGCCCCAAACCTAGCAGTCCTACTGAGCAGACCAAGCCAGAAGCAAATTCTGAAAATAATCTAGACATAAGTGATGCCCTTTCAAACCAAATGCAGGAGATGATAGTCTATTCTCCTCCTGCACAGATGGAAGAAGAGACTGTTTTGTCACAGGTACAAGAAATGTCAGTTTTGCATGCATAAAGATATATTAATTGCTGCTCCAAGAATGCTGAAGTTTTTGGGATATGATAAACTTTGTAACCTGCAAGAGAAAAGTAACTTGTTGATACTTACAATAAAGTGTGCTTTATTGTTAATATTTATTCTTAAGCTTGCTCATACTAGACCAGTAGTGGTGAACCTTTTAGAGACCGAGTGCCCAAACTGCAACCCAAAACCCACTTATGTATCATCGGGTGCTGGGTGGGTGTGGCCTATTGGGTGGGTGTGGCTGCAATGGTAATGGCAGACTGGGTGGGACTAAAAAGTTCAATCAATTCCAACTTTGCGAGATCTTTTTTTTCCTGCGAGAAGTTGATTGAACCTTTTTTTTTTTTTGCACATGGCGGTGGAGGCCTAAAGCCAGCTGAAGGCCTAGGACTGGGCTGATGGTGCACGTGCCCACAGAGGGCTCCGCGTGCCACCTATGGCACACGTGCCATAGGTTCGCCACCGTGGTACTAGACCCTTGTATGAAATGGCTGAACTGCCCTCAGATGGGCATGGAATGAAGCGGAATTGAATATCCAAGTTCTCTGGAACACTTCCTACCTGAATTGAAAATTTTTTTCACGTCCTTAGATTCTGGGAGGAGTGATATTTCTGTATATGTTGTAGGATTTACTATCTGTTACAATATAGACATATAATATAGAGGTAGTCTGCTTCTTTTGAATTAGTAAAAAGCAAGCTACCATTTCTAGATGGAGTTGTAAATATAGCTAGTGAAAGTAGGCTTGCTAACATTTTATGTATTTGTATAATCCAGGAACGAAGCGAATCCAGTGGTAGTTCAGCAGCAGATGAGGACTGGACCCATTTATCTTCAAAGGAAGTAGATCCTTCAACTGGTGAATTGCAGTCCTTACAAATGGTAGAGGAAGACAATCCAAAACCTCTAAATCCGGTTGAAGCTCCCACTAATGCTGGACCAACAGGCTTGCGAGAAGCCGCAATATATCCTCATCTTCCACCTGGTAATAAGAACTAGGCAGGCTCCAAAACTATTTTATAGAAATTATCATGTCCTAATAAATTTGGATACAAATATTTCCATAAAAATATTATTAAAGCATTGGCAGAATTATAGCATCATCATATTTTTAGGCTTGCACAGAAGTTCAAAAATAGCTAACCTCCTTTAGTGAAGAGCCGATATGCTTTGCATGCTTGTACAAGAGTTGGAACACTTTTTCCAAACCATTCTTGATGAAAACAAGGTCCTACAGTGAATCAAGGGAAGAAATCCTCTGCCCAAATGGCAGTCTGATTTAAAGAAAGTTCTAACACAATGTCTACTTTTACAAGTAGCAGCTTTATAGGTCACCTCATAACTTTCTTGCCTAGGTTGTTATGGGACACAAACATCATTTAGCTAGAAAATCAATTTAGGAATATTTGAAAGATCTACTTTCAACCTGAATTTTAATTTATGTGGCTGATTATAATCTGATTTGTTTTAAGCTTTGCATTTTGTGAAAATCAATCCCTATTATGATTATTAGATTTGAGATTAAGGATCGTTTTATAAAGCGGCTTTTTAAAAATGACTTCATATTAGTAGTAGTTGTTGAATTTAATTAAATTCAGGTGTGGAATTGCAAATTTCAGGTATGTGATTATTATTTTTATGGACCAATGAATGTAACATGCTGAAATTCATTCTGTTTACAGAAGCAGATCCTCGTCTGATTGAATCCTTGTCCCAGATGCTCTCGATGGGATTCTCTGATACAGGAGGCTGGTTAACTCACCTGCTGCATTCCAAGAACTATGACATTGGGGCAGCCCTGGATGCTATCCAGTATGCCAAGCAACCGTCCAGTTCCGAATAGCTCTTGTGTAACTCGTAGTTCCTAAAACATTGTTAAAGCCTCTTTTTATATCTTTCTCCTTTCTGTAATGATCTGATTGTAATTCCATATTAACAGATAACATAATCATACTAACTTTCCAAATTTAGTTTCTTTACCTCATGCACTGGGTAAGGGTTAATTACATAAGGAAGAGAACTAGTTTAAAGTTATCACAGGTGATCTTTTACCTTCAAGTTGTGGCAATGGTACAGTCAGGACAAGGATATTTTGCTTTCACATTGGTGAATCTTCCATCTTTAGTCACCATCATGCAGCCATGTGATTATTAGACACTTTTATTTTAGTTATAAGAAATTTGTTTAATTACAGGTATATCAATTTATTAAAGAAAATAGATACCAATAATAGTGTTAGCTTTTCTAAGCTATCACCTGTCCCAAAAGTTGATTTTTGTAGAAAGCCTTTGAAATGTTTTCCATGCCTCTTGTATCAATAATAGCAGACCCATTAACAATATTTTTGATAATTTTGGCATACAGCATAGTTCCACAAATCATTAAAGCCTAAAATAATATGACCAGAATATAATCCACTTCATTATTCAACACTGAGTAATTTTAAATGCAGGCCATATTGCTATTATTTTAAACCATCTAACTGGAAAATCAGCAGATCCCAATGTAGAGCCTTAAATATCATCATCAAAATCCTCTTCTGTGGAAAAAAGGCTTCCATAAAGGCTGTTTGATTTAACAGGAGCAGAGAACCCTGAAGAAGTGGTAAATTCTGCAGGTTGTGCCTTATCTGGACAAGTAGCCAAACCTGTAGAGTATTTGTTGATTTTCCCAAGGTGATCAGAGATGGAAACCTCTTTTGCTCTGTCAAAGCAGGTTAATACATTCTGTTGTGGTTTGAGATGCCAGCTACCACACCCACCACCAGAAGTGGTGGCTCTTTCATCACTTGTGCCTGCAGCAGGTGTTTTGTCTGATGTCCTTTGCCTTCCACCTGTTGTGTCAATATTATAACTCTTGTCAGATAAAAGGAATTTATTCCATTTTGAAAGTCCAGTTAGTTTTGATTCTGGCTGTTGATTATTTCTTCGTAGCACATAGTCTTCAGTCACAGGAATTATACTGTCAGATAAATCATCTCTACAGCTTTTTACATTAACCATGGCTAAATGTCTCATATCCTAAAATAAAAAACAAAAATTGTGACAATGTCAATTCTTAAATGCTAAAGGAAGAAGCTTTCACTTGATAGTTGTTATCTTTATAGTTCCCAGAGCTTTCTTATTCTATAGCCATTTCACTTCTGGGATGGTGATTGCAGTTTGAACTGTAAGGATCGTGTTAATAGTTACCCTCTAGAATTGTCAGGCCTGTCAGGGTCATTGATTGGTCAAAAAAACAGTTCTCCCACAAATTAACATTTCAACTTGGAAAGCTCAACATTAATCGCCAACTGGAAAAGTGTGACACAATAGAGCAGTGGTCCCCAACTCCTGGGTTGCAGCCCACCACTGGCCATGGGCTGTTCGGAACCGGGCCATGGAAGTGGCAGGTAAGCCCAGGCAGCTCCACTTGTGTGAGCAGCAGGTGAGTGCAGATGCAAAGCTCCCATTTGCTCAAATGGCATGCATGCACTCCCACGGCTCATGCAAATGGAGCTGCATGCCCATGCACTTGCCTGGAACCCTCTCCGTCCCCCGCAGCGCTGGTCTGCAAAGCCAGAAAGGTTGGAGACTGCTGCAGTAGAGATTTATTACAGGTAACAGAGCTGGGTTACACATGTAACATGTATCTTCTGAAGTGTTCAAAACACTCTACAAAAATGTTCCAACAATGGGAGATCTATATTTCAAAGGATACTCGAGAAATAGATCCATACATGCTAATTAAAAAGAAACCATGTTAGCAGTGGAGCTCTATCCTCCAAACTAACTAGGGAATACTTCCTAATACTCAACTAGAATCTGGCATTCTGTAACTTAAATCCACTATTCCTTGTTGAGTGGTTAATGCCAATGTTACTCAGCAAATTTCCACAGCTGAGAGCGGACTAAGCTTGGCACTCCATCACAGTTATAAAGGCAGAAATACAAACCAACCTATATAAAATAATAGTTCAAAGTTTCCGCCATTCTTTGCCAACAGGAACACACAGATACCTGCCACAGTAATTATCCTATATTTGTCTAATTCACAAGCACCAGATAACTCTTACTCATAATAATCGTGGAGATGAAGTATTCTATATATTCACTGAGAAAGAAACTATTGCTACTATGTAAAAAGGGTAATTTCTATATACAGGTAGTTCTCCATGATCATTTGCTCAGCACCCATTATGGTTACAACCAGTCCTTGGGAGTTCTAGCTGTCCAGCAACTCTGCAGTCACGTGATCTTGATCAGAGTGCTTAGCAGCTGTTTCACACGACCACTTGATTGGATTGGAATATAGTGGTTCTCCTTTCTATTGGCCATCTCCAGAAGATGTTTACCACTATTAGCATCTAGTTCATGGATGTACAAGGTTCCAATCCATTTCCTCAAATTGTTCAACATTCACATGAAATCATGGAGGCAAACTTCTATTAGGTCATCTGTGGCTTTGGAATGTACTGATCACACCTAGCTCTATTATTGCTTACGTGCAATACGAGATACAAAATGAATATTGTCCAAGTTTGATAATAGTCTGGATCAGCGGTTCTCAACCTGTGGGTCGCGACCCTTTTGGGGGTTGAACGACGCTTTCACAGGGGTCGCCTAAGACTATTGGAAAACACATATTTCCGATGGTCTTAGGAACTGAGACACTAGTGAGAATTTCTGCTCAAGGCTAGCTCCGCCAGCCAGCTTGGGCAGACAGGAAAGCAGCCGCCTCAGCAGCATGGCAGGGCTGTGCTACCCATTGCAGAGCAGCTACTGCTGCGTCGCCACGGCTATGAACATCCTGCTTGGCGTCTTTCAAGTCCTCTTGCCTGGCTTCTGTCTGGGAGAAGCGCAGGGCCAAGGTTAAAAAAAAAAAAAAAGCCTGGCAAAATACTCCCGAGGGGTAGTGTCGATCTGTAGCGGGAGGCGAAGGGGGCAGGTGGGTGGGTGGGGGTCGACCAGAAGGAAACTGGGTGTGATAAGGGCGAAAGTTGAGTGAGCTTTTCCCCCTCACACCTCTCTCCGCCTCCCTTTGTGCAGCAGCATCTCTGGCTGCTGCCTTCCCAGTCGCCGAGAAAGGGGAAAAAAAAGCCGTGAGTGAGTTCCCCTTTCTGCCTTGTTGCTTAAAGTTTTTTTTTTTTAAGTTCAGAACTCCTCTGGGCTTGTTTGCACCAGCTTGTGGCAGATCAGTAAATAAAGGGGTGGGGGAGCCAAACCATCCAAGGCGTTTGCACCCTGAATGTGTGGACACTGCTTTCATGACTTGCCACCACCACCTCTCTTCCCGCCCTGCTCTAGCAACGCGCTGCTGCTGCTGCATGCTGCTGCTGGCTGAGCTGAGCTTTCTCTTCTTTAGACTAAATATCTCAAGTACTGTACTCTGGAAGGTTCATAACATTAAAACAATGTTAAGTTTAATATACAAATATTAAAACAAGCACACAGCATCGAAGAATAGTTAACAAACCTCTCAACATAGCCAAAAAACAGGCTCGGTCCCACACCTGAGATCTCAGGCTCGGACACAGAACCAAGTCTACCAAACCTTACAACAGGATAGGGGCCAACCTAATTAAATGAGGCTGATCATTTAAAGGGCAGGCGCTGTGGCAGAAGAGGTCCTTCTTTGGGGCCCCACCAACCAACACTCCTTCACTGACAGAACCCACAACGTGCCTTTCCTGATGGACCAGAGACAGAAACAACAGGGAAGAGATGGTCTTGTAAATAAACCCAGCCCTTAATTATGAAGGGCTTTCAAAGTAACTACCAGCACCTTGAATTGCATACTGAAGCAAACTGGTAATCAATGCAGCTTGTGAAGCTGTGGTGTCACGTGCTGAAAAACTGGCACCGTTAGTTGTCCCTGCTGCCACATTCTGCATTAGCTGAAGTTTCCAAATGCTCTTCAGGACCTGACCCATATAGGTCATGTTGCAGTAGTCAAATTTTCATGAGGGCATAAGGGACTGTGATTGGGCCTTCCATTCAGGAATAGATGCAATTAATATTTCTTTACTATTTGTAGAATTTAGCCTTCTTTGTAACCCTATTTCCAAATCAAAACGTCTTACCTGCCAGCCTGTTTTTTCCTTGATGTTAGCAGCCATATTCTCATCACTTATTTGCCCTGATTCTTCTTTACACCTGGAGGTAGATCACATTTAACTACTGTGTATAACTGTATCTTTATATACATATGGAAAAGTAAAAGCAAGCTGTCAAATCAGGAATAACTGATGTTTAAGTGTATAAAAAGGGAAAACGTGTATACTGTACATGCAAAATACCTACAACCTTGTTTTAGTAAGGGAATAAAAGAAATCTATCAATCCTTGTAATAAGAAGTTTCACATTCAATGATGGGCATAAATGCTACCAGGCAAAAAAAGCCTGTGTGCAAATCAGCACCAAATTACAATGACTCACCGCACACAAAGTAACATGTATACAAATAGAGATAACATTTGCATGATTGTCATTATATATATGTACCCCATCCCCTAGAACACCTGTGAGCATAAATATAGAAAAAAGAGCAATCAACATGTTAATACCATACCTAAGTTTGCCTGCAGATGACTGATCCTGTTCTCCTTGCAGCAAATTTAGCTTCTGTACGTGGTGTCTGCAATCAGCCCCAGAGCCCTGACCAAAAACCTAAATAGGTTGAAATTCCATTAAAATACTATTTCCCTTCAATTCTTGAATGCTAAACTGAAAATTAAAGAATATAATTCTACCTGAGTACAACTGTTCCAAACATGTGAGGGAGGAAAACAAAGCTTGTATTATATTTTGATATATGCATATCTATATATTGCGTCTGGACCCTTTAATTGGGTCAAGCGGTGCATCAGAGGACAAAACCTTTTCAACCAAGGCACCTCAAATGGCCTGCTGAGTGTGGCTTCTTCAATACTGTTGCAAACCCAATGGGAAAGCCACTAGGAAGTCATTCCTGGTCTCACTGGTATATTTTGCCTATCCAATGTCATTCTGTTTCTCTGTTTAGATAAGAAAATATCTCTGAAATGATGACATTAGAAAGCATATATTACAAAGTTCAGTTTGCCATTTCATAGCTGGATAAAATATAGTAGTATTTATTTATTTATTTAAATTTATAGACCGCCCCACTCCCCCAGGACTAGTAGCCACTTTTTGCCATATTCACCATGTAACAATACTATACTATGCTATGCTATGCTGTACCGTACTGCACTATACTACATATAATTGAATATATATATTGCCTTTCTCCTTGAGCAAGTAATCTGGTAATTAACAATAATGAAATTACAAAATGTTCAAAAAGTTCTAATTGAGTCTGAAGCAAAAGAGAAAATTTAAAATAGACTCATGTATTCTCATTTATCAAGAATGTGGGGCCAAAGGACTTCCGGTGGTTCCAGCGATGATGAATGGCGGCGTTTTACAAAGCCGCCCGTTCCTGGTGCGTGTAAAAGCCGTGGGACTTTGACAATCAGCTGTCCCGCGGCTTGAATCTCCTCCCTGGGAAAAAGGGAGGAGGAGAGCTCTCAGGTAGAGGTAAGAGCTCCCCTGGATTCCTGTTATTTTGGGGATCGGAGGGTAGAGCTCCCTCGGAGCCTGAGCAACTCCGCGTTCCAGGGAGACTTCATTCCGAAGTTTTTGGGATGAAGCAAGTTGCCGCTTCCACATCTGCTTTTTTTTCCAGCTGCTTGTGAGTATTTGAAAGCAGATGGAGCAGACCAGGAGAGACTGTGCTTAAGTTTGATGGTGCCTTTAACTTCAGCAAGTTTCCTCTTCCTTTTCTTTTGTTCACTTTCCCTTTAGAAGAAAGTGAAAGTGAAAACTAAAATGGCGATCGTCTTTCTTGCCTGATTTGCATTACAGAGTAAAACCTGGATACAGATTAACTCTTTAAATACAGAAGTAAGAATTTGGCTTTTATTCTTTCCTCTTTTTTTCTTTATTTTTTTTTCTCTTTTTTTTAAGAACACTTAAAAGAATTGTGCCCTTTTTTTTTTCAATAAGAATCTTTCTTCTTGGAACTTAAGAAAATGGCTTCAAAACGTCTGCCTCCCGCCCCTAAGGTTCCTATTTCTTCTCCAATGCCTCAGCCTGCATCTCAGAAACCAAAATCACCTCCACCTTCTCCTCCTCCTCCTGCAATTTCTCTTAATGATTTACAAGATGCTTTAAAACAGCATGCCTTGGATATTAAGGAGGAGGTAAAAGATCTTATAATTGCAGAGAGGGCTAATACAGAAGAATTATTGGAGAAAAAGAATAAACAAGTAAGAGACCATATCCTTCTGGCCTTTCAGGGCCTAGCCCTGCACATAGAAAGGATTGATGACCAGATGGAAAAGATTACTGAAAATGCATCAAGGATGGAATTTAGAATGCAGGAGGTAGAGAACAAGATAGAAATTACACAGGATGAACAAATCATTTCACAATATAGGGAGATGGAACACGCATTGCGTATCAGAGGCCTGAGGGAGAACCCTCAGGAAGACTTAAAGATGCTTATTGTGAAAGATATTGCTCCTAATATTGGTTGGCGGCCTGAAATAATTGAGAATGAGATAGAAAAAATTTTTAGAGTTAATTCACGGGTTGCTAGACAGAGAAATCTACCAAGAGATGTGGTTATTTATTTTTCTAGAAGATCTATCCGTAATGAAATTATACAGGCTTTTTACAAACAAAAGTTTCAAATAGCTGATCAAGACGTGATAATTTTAAAAGAGATACCTCCAAAAACTTTAAGAGCCAGAAAAGATTTTACTTTCTTGTCTGATGAGTTGAAACATCGTCAAATTCAGTTCAGATGGGAGATTCCAAGAGGAATAATAGTAAATTATGAAGGGATACGTCACAGATTAACTACTGTTTCCAAAGCAAGAGATTTTTATTGAAAATTTTTAAATTTTTACAAAAACAAATCCCCTTCCCATACCCCCCCCAACCCTACCTCACCCCCCTCCTCCCCAACCTCCCAAACCCTGCCCTGGACTTCCCAGAGCTAAGTACAGGCTTAATTGAGAAAAAAAACTTAAAACACTTTTAAAACCTAAACAAATTTAAATACAATCATCATTCTATATAAACTCCCTCCAAAAACGCAAATTTAAACATTACTTTCTTTGAATATCTATGCCTATAATATAAAATCTAATTTCTCCCTCTTTCTTTATCCTAATACAAAAAAATAAACATATAAACCTTTGTTATACCATTAAAACTAAATACTCTTAGAAAACTTAAAGTAAATACATATTTCCTTCAATCTTCATAATCTTCTCACCTATCCAAAAAAAAAAAAAACTTAAAAATCCTAAACAAATCTAGACACATTTAGTTAAACAAATTATTTTCTCTTAAAAATATTAATAATAATATTTAAAAACTTGAAACACTTTTGAATCCTAAACAAATCTAAATACAATCATCATTCTATATAGACTTCCTCCGAAAACACAGATTTAAACATTACTTTCTTTCCTAAACAAATCTATACATTTAATTAAACAAATTATTTTCTCTTAGAAGTATTAATAATAATATTTAAAAACCAAATTTAAGCATTACTTGAAACTTAAACAAGTTATACTCCCTTCGAAACACAAATTTATTAGAATCCCCTCACTGAAATAAACAAATTATAATCCCTTCAAAACACAAGTTTAAACAATATTATCATTAAAGATTTAAAACTTAAAGCTGAAATATATTATTATCCCAAAACACATGTTTAGACATTACATAAGACATTTTCCAAAAACGATATAAGTTTTACTTCTCCCACAATCTCAATAGTAAACTTCTTGTCTAAAGTTCTCATTCAATGTCCATAATTTTCTGTCCAATAACCAGTTGCATCCACTATAAACACAAACTTCTTATCTAAAATTTTCATTCAATATCCATAATCTTCTGTCTAATAGCCAGTTGCATCTACTATAAGCACAATCCATATCAGTCTCTCTTGCCCGCAAGCATCGAAAAGAATGCGTGAAAAGCAAGAGATTTTTATCAGTCTATCTTAAAGAGTCTCTTATGGCAGGAGCCTCATCAATGATGGTTATGGAACAAGCTGCACCGAATTCTGACATAAAAGAGCAAAGGATGACACGAGCTGCCCATAAACGTAAAGAAAAAGAGCAGTTGCAGAAGAGTGGTGAAAGTTTGGTTGTTACAGAGCCTGTGGGAGGGGCAAGACCAAAAAGATCTTCGACAGCAGATCTGCAGGCCATGCTCCAGAGGCTCCAGGCCGGTGGAGATGGTCAGGTTCCTGACCTAGAATGTTAATGGCTTAAACGTGCCCCAGAAACGAAGAAAGATTTTCCATTATTTGAAACAACATAATAATGATTTGATATGTTTGCAGGAGACTCATATAACTTTAAAGGATTCTAAATTTTTGATGAATTCCCGTCTGGGCACACATTTTACTGCTCCAGCCCCTGGGAAAAAAGGGGGAGTGGTAATTTATGTGAAGAAAACTTTTTCAGCTAAACTAATTGAGGCTGATTCTGAAGGAAGATATCTTTTTGTGGAATTATTATTACAAGGCCGAAAGGTTCTTATTGTTGGACTATATGCTCCCAATCAACAACAGAAACAATTTTATAAGTTGCTGCATGGCAAGATATCTCAGTTGGATTATAAATCGGTAATTTTGATGGGTGACTGGAATGGGGTTTTAGACCCAACTATAGACAAAAGAAGTTCCTCTAAAACTTTTATTCAAACTAAATTACCTATGACTTTCTTTGATTTGAAGGAAGAATTGGAGCTTATTGATATTTGGCGAGAAAGGAATACAAGTGATAGAGACTTTACCTTTTATTCTGATAGACACCAGTCATTTTCAAGGATTGATTTTTTTTTGATTACTAGTGACTTCCTCCCTAGAGTGAGGAAGGTGAAAATTTTTCCTAGAACATTGTCAGATCATAGTCCGGTGTGGATGGAGTTATATTCGGAAGACGGGAATAGAAGATCCTGGAGATTGAATGAGAACTTATTTAATCGGGAGGAGTTCGTACAAAAGTGTAAAGAACATTTAAAGGACTTTTTTACTATAAATATGAATAAGGGAACATCGATGTCTATGGTGTGGGATGCTAGTAAAGCATATATGAGGGGAATTTTGATTCAATTGAATAAAGTTTTTAGGGAAAAAGGGTCACAAAGACGTAGAGAAATAGAAGAAGAGATCAAATCAAAAGAACAAGAGTTGGTTCTTAACCCTACTGATAATAATTTAAAGGTATCTATAAAGATGCTTAAGGAACAATTTAACATGTTGATGGCAGATCAGGTGGCTACCAATCTGTCGTATATGAGACATAATACTTTTTGCAATGCGAATAAGCCTGGGAGGTGGTTGGCTTATCAGTTACGAAAGAAACAGAAAGCTAGAATTATAGAGAAAGTAAAATATAAAGGTACTGAGGTTTTTCAGCAAGATTTGATTAAAAAAAGCTTTTTGGACTTTTACACAAAATTATATTCAAGTGATAATATAAGGGGTTTGGATATAGATAAATATTTACAATCAGTACATTTTCCTAGACTTTCAGAGGAACAACAAAATGGGATGAATAGTTTAATTACTGTGGAGGAAATTGGCTTAGCTATTAAGCAGTTAAAGGTTGGAAAGTCTCCTGGAACAGATGGACTGACTTCTAGGTATTATAAGATTTTATCTGAAGAAATGATAGAGCCACTAAAGGAACTCTTTAATAGTATTTTGTTGGGTATGCAAGTTCCTCCTTCTTGGAAAAGAGCTTTTATATCACTGATTCCGAAGGAAGATCAGGATCTTACAGAGCCTAAGAATTATAGGCCAATTTCATTATTGAATGTTGATTATAAGATCTTTACAAAAATTTTGGCAAATAGATTAATGCAGGTTATGAAAGACTTGATTCATAGTGATCAAGCAGGATTTATAACAGGGAGATATATGAAACATAATGTTAGACAAATTATTAACTTAATTGAGTACTTGGATAAGAATAATCAGATTCCTGTGGCTTTTATCTTTTTGGACGCTGAAAAAGCTTTTGATCAATTGGACTGGCAATTTTTATTTTCTTTGGTAGAGAAAATGAATTTTGGGGATAATTTTTTACATGCACTTAAAGCTATATATCAGCAGCAATCTGCACAAATTGTTGTAAATGGGGGATTGACTGAGAATTTCAATATTCAAAAAGGGACAAGACAAGGATGTCCATTATCCCCATTGTTATTTGTTTTAACATTGGAAATTTTATTGATTCAGATTCGGGAATCGAAGTTAGTTAAGGGTGTAAAGATAAGGAAGAATGAGTATAAATTGCGGGCATTTGCGGATGATTTGGTTTTAATTTTGGAACAGCCGAATCAGGCGATTGATGGTTTATTAGAACTTATAACACAGTATGGGAATGTTTCTGGTTTTAAAGTTAATAATTATAAGACTAAGATATTATCTAAGAATATGTCAGTTAAAGAAAGGGAAAGTTTGATTAAAGCCACAGGTTTTCAGATGGTAAAAAAGGTTAAATACTTGGGAGTATATCTAACTGCTTCAAATGGAAAATTGTACAAGAACAATTATGAACCACTATGGGCAAAAGTCCAAAAGGATTTAATAGATTGGAAAAAATTGCAATTGTCATTGTTGGGGAGAATTTCAGCTGTAAAAATGAATGTTCTACCAAAGTTTCTTTTTTTGTTTCAGATGATACCTATTCTTAAAAAAGAGGCAAATTTGGAGGAATGGCAAAAGGGTATCAATAATTTTATATGGGCCGGGAAGAAACCAAGGGTTAAATTTAAGATATTACAGGATGCTCGAGAAAGAGGGGGACTTAAGGCACCCAATTTGAAATTATATTATGATGCAGCCGCCCTAACTTGGTTAAGTGATTGGCTTAATTTAACAAATATGGATATTCTTTTTTTGGAAGGTTGGGATTTAATATATGGTTGGCATGCATATTTAATTTTTAATAAGAAAGTTGATCGGACTTTTAAATCACATATTTTGAGGAATGCCTTACTTCGTGTTTGGAAGAAGTATTATTATAGATTAAATTATAAAATACCTATCTGGGGGATTCCCAGACATGCAATTGAGGGAACCTCTAAGGGGAAAAATTTTGATAAAATTTCATATAAAGAATTGTTAATTTGTTCTGGTTCGAATTGGCATTTGAAATCCCTAGATGTATTAAGGCAGCAAAATATTCTACAGTCATGGTTTCAATATTTACAAATAATGGATAGATGGACTGTAGACAAGAAAGAGGGAATAACACTAGAAGATAGACAATTGGTTATTCAGATTAAAAACCAAGGTCCGGCTCATATAAAAAGAATATATAATGTTTTATTAGAGTTAGATTCGGAAACAGAATTGGTTAAAGATTGTATGATTAAATGGGCTCAGAATATACAGGAGCCGATCTCATTGGATTTATGGGAGATAATTTGGATAAGAAATGTTAAATTTACACAAGCTCAAAATTTGAGAGAAAATTTTTATAAAATGTTTTATAGATGGCATTTAGATCCTAAAAAATTATCTTGTATGTATTCCAACATACAGCCCAAATGTTGGAGATGTGGCAATAATGATGCGACATACTTTCATATTTGGTGGAATTGTAAAAAAGTAAAGGCTTTTTGGATTATGATTTGGTGGAACATTCAAAAGATTTTTAGAAAGAAGATAAAGTTTACTCCTCAACTATTTTTACTTGGTATTTTTGTTGACTTAAATGAAAAAGAAACTACTTTGATGTTGAATTTATTAACTGCAGCAAGGTTACTAGTAGGTCTATATTGGAAGAAAGATTCTTTGCCTACTTTAGAAGAATGGATATTTAAAGTATCTAGTTTTGCAGAAATGGCAAAAATTTCTGCTTATTTAAAGGATCATACACAAGAAAGATATATTACTGTATGGGGAAGGTGGATAGATTATATTCAGAAAAAATATGGAATTAAAAAGTTTTATTTATTTTATGAATGAATATCAAATATTATAGAGAATTGTTTTATAAGTTATGGAGTTAAAGGTTAATTATGATATTAATTATTATAATTTTCTTTTTCTTTTTTTTTCTTAACCCTGTATTCTGCTCTGGGAAGTGAAGGGAGGGGGGGTGGGGGTGGGAGGGAGGGTAAGGGGGGGTTCTCTATTTTAAAATTTTATTGTATTTTTATAAATGATTGTATGTTTTAAAAAAATAAAAATTTTCAATAATAAAAAAAAAAAGAATGTGGGGCCAAAGATAATTTCCACAGGATAATGGATGATTCCTTATCTCATGGCAGAACATTAAAACGTGGCAGCAGCAGGGCCATCTTCAAAAAGGCTCTCTGCCAGATTTTAACATAATAGGAGAGAAGGTCCCTCAGCTAGTTCGATTTTAAATTGTTTAGTGTTTCAAAAGTTAAAATCAGCACCTTAAATAGTTCCCTATGAGAATGATGGGGAAAAATAGTATTAACTTTAATAAAGAAATAGGGGTTACATACCCTTAGAATTGACTGCTTTTCATCACATATTTTGCAGTTCCATTTTTTGCTTTTTTTAACCTAAGAAAGAATTTTACGTATAATTACTATATTAGTATAAATAGTTCAGTCAGTCACTGTCCAGATTGTCTTCAAAATTTCCAAAGACAAACTTTTATTGAACATAGATATATGGACACAAAAAATGGTCTTTCCTCAAATAGCTCTACATTTACAGTCTAGTGACACTAAACCCTGGACCTATAAGATATAATTCTACTATGCACCCTAATCAATCTAAATTATGCAAATTAATTTAAATGTATATTAATCTCATATAATTTATGCTAAAGCTAAAATAATGTCATGTGCAACAGTATTGTTGATGCTAAAATTTATATGCTTTAGCAACACTTTAAAATGTAACTTTTCACCCTGACTTTTGGCTGAAACTGTATCAATGTCGGACCTTTGTTCCCTTTTCTTATCATAGAATTTTTAATCATTTTATGGTTTTAAATATGTGTGATTTTAGAAGGGATTACATGTATATTTATTACTTTAAACATTTCTTTTAACATACTATTAATGTATGTTTTTCCAAACTTTGAGATCCTTTTTAACAATGAATATGTCTGTTAGAAATTCCTAATTTTCTTTGCAGTTCTGAGTATATGTGTTCAGTGGAATTACATAAACAGAGTGCAGAGATCTTTTCTGTAATTTAAATCTGTTGTAAATTTATAATGAAATGAGATCAACATTCTTATTGTCACTACCCAGCATAATAACTCCGCAGGCAGCTGCATCTGGTTGACCTTCTTTGAAAGATCAGATTAGGTTAGCAGTTGAATAAGAGACCACCAGGAAATCTCAGATGGCAATGACAGACTAATTTACATATTGTTAAGAAAATTGCATGGTCCTGTCTGTAAGTACAACTCAGAGAAGATTTCAACTTTTTATAGGTGCTGTATGTGCAATCTGGAAAATATGCTTATAACACATATAAGAAAAGTCATTTTCCAATTAGTATCTCCATGAGATTCAACCAAAGCACCCTATATCGGAGAAGCAAAAAACTGAGGTTGAGAGTCAATCAGACACATATTACATGGTAATTAACTTGCTGTCTGATAGACAATCACTGTGAGTCCTCAGTCATCCCTGATTCATGTTGTTGGTTGTGGATTATGGGAATAGATATTCATGGAAACTGAGGGACCGCATATTGGAAATGGCCCTATTTGATTTTATGCATCAGGCTATTGCCAAGCAGAAATTTCTCTAATTTCACGTGCTTCTCATTATGAAGATCTGGCCCTTGTTCAAGAATAGCAAGGATGGGCAATTATGGCCCCTTTATGACCTGTGGACTTCAACTCCCAGAATTGCTGCCTCCTACCATGGCTGGTTCAGGAATTCTGGGAGTTGAAGTCCACTGGTAATAAAGGGGCCAACATCAAAATCCTGAAAACGGATGCCCTTTTCCCTCACAATTCCTATACCCCCCCAACCCAGAGTACTATTTCCTCTTTAAAGAAATAAAATATTCCTGCTATTCTAATAACCTGGTACAATTTAATTTCCTTGGTTCAGTGTAAATTAGCCCTTTACCCAATTCAGAGATTTCCTTTTCTGCCTACAATTTTTTTAAAAAAACGTATCCCGCGCTACAGCGGGTCTCTTCTGGTTTCTCACCTGCTGCACTTGGAAGATATTACAGGAACAGCATCTCAGCACCTGAAACTGCTGAGCCATCAAAAAAGAGGGTTGTTTGGGACTTTCGAGTGAAAACGAAACAAAGGAAACTTCCCCTCTTCAGAGACCACACACCAATTCACCAACACTGTCGTAAGCCAGTCTCTCCGTTTCCTCCCCCCGGGCCCACTTCACTTCGTGAAGGCTTTAGGCGGGAAAAAGCGCGACGCACCATCAGCAGGCTCTTCCTCCTTGGACACGCCCTTGGCCCTTTGTTATTGGTTTAAACGCTCAGAGGGTCTGTTTTGACGTGAGCCCATTGGCTGAGAGCAACGGGGTCTGCGTGTGGCTTCAAAGCCCTGATCAAACGCAAGCGCTGCTGTGTCTGCAGAGGGCAGGTCTAATTTCTGCTTTTCGACGTTAGTGGCGAAATGGAGCCCTGCCCGCGCGCGTCCTCTGTAAAAGTGGTTTTCTCAAAGTCAGATGTTTATTTGGAAAAATGCGTGACTGATACAATAGAATATTTGTTGCTTAGGGTTGAAATGAGGGGTGCTTGGGTCAGTTTCTTACTCTTCTCAATATGGGCACATCTTTTAACTCATTCTTTGGGGAATAATCAGTTTACAATTTATTACATCCTTCAATAGAAAAAATGCTTGAGAACAGTTGTTAAAGATCTTGACATTGACAACATGCATTTGAGGGGGTGCTCACTGAGCTTGTTTTCTTGCAGATGTTTCATTACCCAAACTAGGTAACATCATCAACACTTACTATCATAAATTATTATAAACATTATGAACTAGTAACATCAGATGTTACCTAGTTTAGGTAATGAAACGTCTGCAAGAAAATAACCAAGCTCCCCTCAAATGTGATTGCTAGTATCAAGACATTTTAACAAGTGTTCTGCAAACATTTCTGTATTGAAGAATGTAATAATTTGTAGAATGTGATTATTCCCCAAAGAAGGAGTAAAAGATGTGCCCATATTGGGAAGGGTAAGAAACTGATGTCAGGATACTTATTGCATGTTATACTGTACTGTATCACGAATAGGTAGTTACGGCTTTTGAGAGAATGGCTTGGGCAGCCAGGTAATAGATCATGTGGTATTACAATTATTATCTTAGATATAATGAGATAATGAAAAAGTTAATGGGTCTCTTCCCATTCTGAAAGGCACTTCTTTCGCAAATCTCAAAGCTGACTCATGACCTTAAAAAGAAAGTGCTGAGCTGAGCTTTAGTCTAATTAAGTCACGATTTAAGTGTTCTTATTTTAAGTATTTTCAGAGCTTTTGCAATGTATTTGAAAAATGAAAAGTGGAACACAACAGTTATCTTAAATAGATAATCTGATGATAAACAAAAATGAAAACAAATCTATGACTGATTCATTTATTGAATATATACATGATTGATCAAAAACAATGTAAAATTACACATATGTTATGTGTGTGTACATATATATAATTAAAAGGTAATAAATTATGGAATGAGTAAAAGCTAATGTCATTATTATCTGCTTTCAGATACATGAATATGAAATTTGAGACTTAAATATACAGAATATGCCACAATCAGAATAACATTGGGTATTGCATCTACTGGTGTATTCCATGGATACATATATTCAAGATCTTTAGACTTTTCTCCTTCTGAACAGCCAATGTGACAACACTAATGGCTGGTTTAGCAATAACCATACATGGCATTTATACAATTTAAATTTAATTCATGCAACCAGTGTACAGAGCATGTATACAAATATAAACAAACAATGCTTCTTGACAGTGAATGCCTTCCCATAGGGAAGCTATCAATCCAAAATGGAGCTCCAATTTTCTTCCAATCCACACATAATTTTGTAGAGGATGGGTCCTGTTTCTGAATATTTATACTACGCCATCAGAACACAAGGTGATCTAAACTTCACCTATTAATATACATTACATATACAATTGCAATCTTTCCATTGTACTGCAATTCAAATGATGTACAACATTTGGGTCACCACACAGCAAGTTATATATTTACATTTGCATTTCCTATGCATGTATTTACAAACAAAAGAAAATTATTTAGACTTACTTCAGATCACAGACAAAAACATGACTTACACAGGCTTTCTAATTATGCCAGCAATCAAAGGTAACAGACTGTAAGTTATGAGCTCAGGCTATGTACTATCTCAAATTATGAAGAAATAATAAACTAGTCTAAAGTCAGACAGTTAAGTCTTTTGCGTCTTGTGATCCTCAGGAATGTGAAATTCTATTCACTCTGCTCCATTCTCAATGGCTATTACACTCCTTTCTTTCAGGGAAATTAAAAATGAACATGGCACTGAAGAGTTAAAAAAGGGCTAAAACATATTAGTAAATATCTGTCTTTGGAATTTTGAAAGTTATATACTGTACTGATTAATATTAATGAATCACTTGGGATAGAAACCTGCTGTCCCAAAACACTGGGGCATTTTGAATTGCAAGATGCCAAGAGTAAGAGAATACAACATATTTACATTTAACAAGTTACTCCGCTGCATTATCAGTTCCTAGCAAGGTTTATTTAGGCAGGGTAGAAATATCTACAGCATTTTGAATTGCTGTGTCAGGACACACAGAAGCAGGGAAAAGATAGAAAGCAAGGGTACACTTCTAAATAATTACCAAGATATCCAGAGCAAAGGGAGATACAGCATAGGTGTGCCTGAAATTAAGCTGCATTGAATAAAGACAAGCAGAGGCACACATGCATAATTTACTGTAATAATTTTAAGTTGAGAGGGTATTCAGTTTTATCCTTTCATGCTTTTAGGAAATTAATGTTATTTTGGCAAGCAAGTTATCCTCCAGGGAAGTGCACATATCAAAGAATCACTATGACAAACCCCTTACTCAGTTTCTTTAATTAATGCATAGTTACTGAGGTTGGTTAAAAAAAGCCCTGTCCATCCATTAGGCTAGTAGACCTCCTGCCTCTTGCCCAACTTTCATCTTATTCCCCAAGCTCAACCTGATACAGAGGAGATTTCATAATCACTGGATGAACTGAATTGCCTTTCAATTTTCCTTTGCTCCTTGATTTTCTGTGTAACATCAGTTTTCTTCTCAAAGTAGTTTACTAAGACTGACTCTGTAAGGATAGAGGCTAAGATCTGTTCAAAGGAGATGGACCAGTCTGTATCAATTGTGCTGCCACACCGTGCAGCTGAGCTGCCTGCCTCACAACCAACTAGAACTGTATCGTCTGCAATGTCTTCGCACTGTAAGGAGCCTGTGCTGACCATAGAATACGAAGACATGGACATATCATCTTTAGTTTCATCATCTGAAAACAACTGTAGGGGGGATCCTGGACCTTCGCCTCCTCCATCTACAAAAATCTGATTTTCCTGTTGGTTTTTCTCAATTTGAATATCCCCAGAAGCTTTGCCTTCTGGAGTAGTCTGAGAATATTGCTCTAGGATTGAACACTGACTCTGATCTGAAGCCGGAGACTCTTTATTTACAGGGTCCTTTTTAGCAGGCTGATTAGAGAACTTTTTGCCAACCTCCCCAATTTGTAGAAGAAGGCTGGCAACAGTGGCAATGGCATGGTACAGTTCTTGCTCCAAAGAATCTTCACTGAACATGTTATACAGGGTCTTGCACAATTCTATAAATTGTTCCTTAAAAGAAAGAAAGACATATGATAGCAATTAATAAGGTGAAAAATCTTCAAATGGATAATGCAAAGCTAATGTCCAATTCTAATAGATGCTCTCTTAATCCTCTCAAGGAGAGGATAGATGCTCTCTTAATCCTCTCAAGTTAACATCCCAGCAATAGCATATTAAATTTCCATTTGAGATACTCACATTGTAAAAATGTAGACAATTAAATGTTACATATTAATGATCCAGAAGAGAAATACCTACTAATAGTTGCAACGTATTTATATGAACTGCCATCATATGACTGGGTACTGAACTCTAAAATTCGTTAGTCAAATTCATCAACCAATGATAAAATATACAATCTTTTCACATTGTAAGAAAGTCATCTGGTTTAGACAATTAGAATGGAGGTACATCAGAGTATATTATTTTAACTTTGAAATGTACTTCCATTTTTTATTGGGATGAGTTTAAAGCTATTTTTCATAATCACAAGTTGTACACCTTGTTTTCTTATATAATCATATATAGACTCTACTTTGTTTTGAATCTTTTATTTGTAATGCTAAAAAACTAAACAAGATGTTAATTCATTTTTCCTATTACCACAGTCCTAGTATCTGGCATTGTTTCATTATATCTCTTCTATCTTTGTTTCGGTGATCCTGATGTAAGAGTTAAAATGATCTCTAAATAAAGAGGCTACTTTTTGATTGCTTTGGTCATTCCAGAATTTTACAGAACGCAAATGTTGAGTGCAAATCCTTGTTAGGGTATGCTTTATCAACCTATTTTATAGGAAGGGAGAGAGCAAAAAAGAAAACAAATTCTAGCTTCAAACTCCCACCTCTACTGTAATAAATTATCCTATAACAAATTCTCTTTCAAAAGTAATATTATTCAAATATGGCATAGGTCAAATCACTTCAGTTTCTTCCTTAGTTCTTATAACATGACAATTTTCCTTAAAGTGAACAATACTTCGCATACATATATACATACATAACTCAATAAAAAAGTTACACTAAAATTTTCAAACTTTCTAGCTTGATCTAACATTCTAAAAATCTCTCCTTCAACGACACCATTTTAAATCCATAGATTCTCCAGCAACTTCCTACCTGACTCATCTTAGGGAGATCTTTGATGGTTTCTTTTCTGGCATCTTTCTCTTTGGCCCACATTCGCAAGTGGTATCTGTAATCATGAGGACTTGTGCCCCTCTCTATAAGGAAGATTAATTCAATATAAATTAATGCATATTATGAACTCTGGTAATGTCAGCATTGCCCAGGTATTTCTTTTAGAGCAGGACATCTTTAAGGAAACTACCAACAATAAGAACACTTACCTTGATCTTTGGATTCCCCATCTCTTCCTGATTTATCTTCCTGAATATCTGTTTCTATAAAATCAAGCACATTAAGAATAAAGGCTATTTTTATTAGAAGCAGGGTATTACAAACAGAACAAATAAATGT